AACCTTATAGGTAAGGCTTGGGAGGGAGTGACTAAGAAGACCTTGAACTCTGCTTGGAAGAAACTGTGGCCAGAATGTGTAGACAAAAGGGATTTTGAAGGGTTTGAGGCTAACCCTGAGAGGAGTATGCCAGTTGAGGAATCAATTGTGGCATTGGGGAAGTCCTTGGGGTTGGAGGTTAGTGGGGAGGATGTGGAAGAGTTGGTGGAGGACGACAATGAAGAACTAACCACTGATGAGCTGATAGATCAACTTCAAGAGCAAGAGGCCAGACCTGAGGAAACTGGTTCAAAGGAGATAAGATAAGATAAGATAAGATTTCGTTCGGATTTTTAACCCCTGGGGGTTAGCCACCCAGGATAACCCAAGAAAGTCAGTGCGTCATCGAGGACTGTCTAACTTATTTCCATTGGGGTCCTTAATCTTGTCCCCCAGGATGCGACCCACACCAGTCGACTAACACCCAGGTACCTATTTGCTGCTAGGTGAACAGGACAACAGGTGTAAGGAAACGTGTCGAAATGTTTCCACCCGCCGGGAATCGAACCCGGGCCTTCCGTGTGTGAAGCGGGAGCTTTAGCCACCAGGCCACCGGAGAGAGAAATTGAAGGAATTGCCTACTACAAAGATTAAGGAAATGTGTGCAAAATGGCTTGAAGTGCAAACCTTTTTTGATGAAAATCACCCTCACACAGCTATTGCAAGCCGTGTTGGCAACCTGTACACTGACAATGTTGTGAAACACTTTAGGGAAGTCATAAAGGAACGAGAGGTACAGGCCACTATGGACAGATATGTTGTGCGAAAGAAGTCCAGTGACTCTGAAGCTGGTCCTAGTGGCATTAAAAGAAGAAGGGAAGTAACCCCAGAAAAGGACTCGACACCTCAAGTCTTAATGGAAGGGGATTCCCCTTCTAAACACTAACACTCTCTCTCCCCTCCTCCCATCCCATCAATCATCACCAGATCTTCAATAAAAGTAAGTGTCATGTAATTGTGCATGCCTTTTTCAGTTTGTGTGTATTAAAAAATTTTTTTTTCATACTTTTGGGTGTCTTGCACGGATTAATTTGATTTCCATTATTTCTTATGGGGAAAATTCATTCGCATACCGAACATTTCGCATAACAGCCAGCCCTCTTGCACGGATTAAGGTCGCTATGCGGGGGTCCACTGTACTCTGCTCTTCTTATAACACTTCTGCTTTGTAAAAACCTCTCATAAGCTACCTTTTTCTCTTTTATCACACCCTTTACTTCATCATTCCACCAATCACTCCTCTTTCCTCCTGCCCCCACCCTCCTATAACAAACTTCTGCCCCACATTCTAATACTGCATTTTTAAAACTATTCCAACCCTCTTCAACCCCCCCACTACTCATCTTTGCACTAGCCCACCTTTCTGCCAATAGTCGCTTATATCTCACCCGAACTTCCTCCTCCCTTAGTTTATACACGTTCACCTCCCTCTTACTTGTTGCCACCTTCCTCTTTCCCCATCTACCTCTTACTCTAACTGTAGCTACAACTAAATAATGATCTGATATATCAGTTGCCCCTCTATAAACATGTACATCCTGGAGCCTACCCATCAACCTTTTATCCACCAATACATAATCTAATAAACTACTTTCATTACGTGCTACATCATACCTTGTATATTTATTTATCCTCTTTTTCATAAAATATGTATTACTTATTACCAAATCTCTTTCTACACATAGCTCAATTAAAGGCTCCCCATTTACATTTACCCCTGGCACCCCAAATTTACCTACTACTCCTCCATAACATTTTTACCCACTTTAGCATTGAAATCCCCAACCACCATTACTCTCACACTTGATTCAAAACTCCCCACGCATTCACTCAACATTTCCCAAATCTCTCTCTCTCTCTACACTTCTCTCTTCTCCAGGTGCATACACGCTTATTATAACCCACTTTTCACATACAATCTTTATTTTACTCCACATAATCCTTGAATTAATACATTTATAGTCCCCTTTTCCTGCCATAGCTTATCCTTCAACATTATTGCTACTCCTTCTTTAGCTCTAACTCTATTTGAAACCCCTGACCTAATCCCATTTATTCCTCTCCATTGAAACTCTCCCACCCCCTTCAGCTTTGTTTCACTTAAAGCCAGGACATCCAGCTTCTTCTCATTCATAACATCCACAATCATCTCTTTCTTATCATTTGCACAACATCCATGCACATTCAGACTTCCCACTTTGACAATTTTCTTCTTATTCTTTTTAGTAATCTTTACAGGAAAAGGGGTTCCTAGCCCATTGTTCCCAGCATTTTAGTTGACTTTTACAACACACATGGCTTATGGAGGAAATATTCTTATTCCACTTCCCCATGGATATAAAAGGAAAAAAAAAATAATAAGACCAAGAACTATTAAGATAAAATCAAAGAAAACTCAGATGAGTGTGTATAAATAAATGTGTACATGTATGTGTAGTGTGACCTAAGTGTAAGTAGAAGTAGGAAGACATACCTGTAATCTTGCATATTTATGAGACAGACAAAAGACATCAGCAATCCTACCATCATGTAAAACAATTACAGGCTTTTGTTTTACGCTCACTTGGCAGGACAGTAGTACCTCCCTGGGTGGTTGCTGTCTTTATTTATTCTACTGTACCACTGCAGAGACAACTTGTACACAATGTAAGGTGCTTGTATGAATGTTAATGAACCATAACTAGACGCTTTGTCCATTTGTTTACATAGTGAGTAGGGTGGCCAGGCAGGCTACCCTACCTCCCACAAGACTTTCTACAAATACTTTTCACCTCTCACCCTACATTAAGACCATTAAGACTACAAATATTTTAAGGTAAGTAATGTGTGTACTGTATATGCATTTTATTACTCCAGGGAGCTTTAAGCGTTATAGTATATTATTTATGGGTGGGGTGGCCAGGAGGGCTACCACGCCTGACGTCTTACAGTAAATACTACTTACCTTTGCCCTACATTAAGACTACAAATATTTTGAGGTAAATAATGAGTGTACTATGTGTGTATTTTACTTTTTATTGTTTTTTAATGCGTAGTTCTATTGATAACTTAATATATGTTAGTGCAAACTTGTTATCTGGCATTTATATTTATTTGTAAGTGGAAAAATGGCACTCTGCTGACTAGCAATGTCTGCTGTCCAGCAGTAGCCTGGAACCTAACCTGCCGTATAAGTGGTGCCCTACTGTATAAATCTCAGGTGAAAGGTAGGAGGGATAGGGGTCATCCCAGAAATGGCTGAGGGAGGGGATAAAAGAGCAATTGAGTTTTAGAGGCTTGAGCATCTACCACACTTGTGTAAGTATGTTAAGAGTGAATGGAGACAATTGGTTGTTAATGGATGTGCTGTTGGAGTGAACAAGGTAACTTATGAAGAGATTCAGGGAAAACTGGTCAGCCAGACTTGAATGCAGCGCCTGCACTCAGGAGGAGTGGCGTGGATGCTACAGTTGGAGGGTAATCTGATGATGTCAGTGCATTTCTGGAAAGAGGGCAGTTGCGGGAAGGTTTCCTCTGGGTCATCCCTGTCTTGGTAGGAGAGGGCTGTAAAGTTAAAAAAAAAAAATAATGAAATTGCTGAACAATTTTAATTAATGAGAACTACAGTATTGATCATAGTTGCCATTACTTAAGATTGAATTATACACAAATAGCCTTCACACAGACCATTAACTGGTCACACTAGTCCTAAGTCAAATTGACACATTGTCACAAGTTTTATTCCGTGTAGGATATTTGTGTATTGTTCCAGTCATGGTATTGTGCCTTTTTATTCTTTAAAATTTAATTACTGTACCAGTATTTGGTGTTTGTAACCATATATTAATGTATAATTTTTTTTATATGTGCACAGAAATTTTACCATAGGTCTCCAAAAGGCCTGGCTGGAGCCCTGCAAGATTTGGGCATATCATTTGTAGGGCAAGAACATTCGGGAATTTGTGATACACGCAACACTGCAGTTCTTATCTCCCGTATGATCAGTGATGGATGTGTCATGACAATCACAAAGTCTCTTGCAGTCAACACCAATAAGGTTCATGCCCATTGATGAAAACTTTTTCCAAAATATCACAAATACCACTCACCAGTGTCAATATGTTCATTCACAAATGTGAATAATAAGATTCATACTCCATCCAGCCTGTCCTCACATTTTATTACCACATGATAGGAAAATGATAACAAGGGACTAGTAACCCCTTCTGTAAATTAGTGTAAAAAGAAAAGCTTTATAGTTTTCTTTTTTTTGGTTCTTGCTGTCTTGATGGAAGATGGCCCATGCATAAAAAAAATAAATAAATAGTTTAGTATGTATGATAATCTGAAAGTAGTTTAGCATTATGATAATAAAAAAAGTGCTAAACAAAGTAGTTTGGCAGATAATGAAGCTTAAGCCCATGTTGAACAATCTATTTTTATACAGTATAATAAAAGCCAACTTTATTAAAGCTAATTGATCTAAACTGGCCTTTTCTTTCCTTCCTTGGACTGAACCTAATTACCTCTCATTCACCAAGTGCTGTATGACCCCTATGGGTCATATAGCACTTCCCCGGTAAAAAAAAAAAAAATTAAGTGGTGAATTTCATCTATTTTAGACCTAATATATATATGTATAGAAATATCCAGCCACTTACTAGTGGCATCTACTTTTCAAATGATATAATCTTGCTTGTCTTCTCTCCAAGCTGATGACAGGCACACAGTTTACAAGCCAAAATTTTTTTGTATCTCGACCCTAATGTCGGCATTTCTTCATGACCCACTTGGATTCAGCATTTCAAATTAAAAAAAATTACATGAAATGTTTATATCTAAACTGGTGAAGAACACTGTATTAATGATATATTTGTAATAATGCATTCTAAGGAATTCAACTTTCCAAAACATTGTAACTACACTTCAAATAATCTGGTATCAACAATAAATAAGGAAGTACCAAAAACAACAAAAAAAAAAAAAAAAAAACCATAAAGAATCATTTATTAAATTATTCAGAACAGTTTGATAGTTATAGACATAATTTGAATTTTCTTGCTTTCCAACATTTAGAAACTTATCTTCATCCAAAAGGGTTCCCCTAAATATTTAAGAACTTGTCTAATATAAAGTAAGACGCAAATTTAGGATTAAAATTCCTCCTATGGATGCATCAATGTAAAATATATAACATACTGTATACAGTTACAATTATACACAAACACGTGTATCCACAATATTTACATGGCTGAATGTGAGTATGTCTTCATGACAATATAATATTCATATGCATGCATGTATACATGCAAGTGTGTCTTGATTATATATTAATAGATTGAATCATTAATAATGGAAAAATACTATTTGAAGTATTTTTAATACTGTACTAGCCTTTTTTAAATAATTATTTTCCAACTGTAATTAACCTTAATTTTACAGTTTCTTAATATTCTGTAGAGCTTTGCCTACCGTCAAATTTTCTATATTAAGGATGGATCAGACATTTTTTAATATTCTGACACTGGTCCTAGCAATGGCATGGTGTTACACTGCTGTATGACAAACTAACATGCTCAAATAATTTTTACATACTTTTAATATGCACCTCTCTTATACTCAAGTATTCAGCATGTTTCGTCAAACATTAAGTATAACTTACTAAGCAAAGTATACAGTACATGTATGTGCACGTGTCTGTGTATATATACAAGCATATATACACAAATGCAAAGAAAAAAAAAGTTACAGTAAAATATAAACCTTGTAATTTTCCTGTTCAATACTATAAAAATCAACTCCTTAATGGGTATAAGAAATAGAGCATCCTATTGATAAAAAATGATCATTTCAAATACACAACATTCATGCTGGCAGCCTAGTTCTAATGCCTTGGCAATTTATCTTACAGAACAAGGAAATTGCCTACTATAGGTATTCAGCTCATTCTTACAATCATAAAACACTTTTTCACTTAAGATTCATATCAGATTTGCACTTACAAAATAAAAATTATTCTAGTCATTAAATCTCTATCATCATTCATGATGTGGAATTTTAGAAAATGAAACCTCTTACAAGTGCGATCTCAAAGTCAATACAGAAGTACATATATTGTTGAGACATGCACAACACCCTATGGACACCAGATTTCCATTTCAGACGTTGTTTTACCTGTCACCCAAGAGCTAATAATATCTCCCCCTCTTAGCATTCCAGCTATCTCCTCCCCTTCTTGACCTTTTTTCACCTCGTCCACCCCATCCACTACCTCCTCCATAACCACCCCTTCCTCCACCTCCTCTGCTACTATTCCAACCATAGTCCCGACCCCCTCTATAACCTCCATGATCACCACCAGTCTGGTAAGATCCTCTCCCACCACCCCTATTCTGCCGCCAAGTAGATCCAGTATTATCGTGGCTCCTCCATGTTCCTTGTTTCCATGAGCCTCTGTCATCCCAGCCCCCTCTTCGATCAGACCCTCTCCATGGTCCACCTCTTCCTCTGGGCATCCCTCGTCTATTACCAAAATCTCGATTTCTATTTAAGTAGGTTGCTGGTGGATTGAGCGATGCCTGAAACTAAAAAAATTATCATTAATTTACAAGGGTAATGGAATAGAAAATTGTGTGCAGACAAATCAGACTGGTTCAAAGAAAAAATAATTTGTAAAAGAAATTCTGCACTCCTTAAAATACAGTAAAAACATTATTTTTTTTTTTATCTGAAGAGGTGCCTCCTGCCAAGCCAGGGTAACCCAATGAAGAAAAAACATTCACTGTTCATTAAATTGCTGTTTTGCATAAGTGTGCTGATATCACAATTCAAATTACTTCTCCAAAAATGGGAGGGAAAAGAAAGGGAAATAGAGGGCTTTTATGAATACTGAAATTTTTTTAGTTTCTTTGTTAAAAATTAAATGGAATATTATGGCTCAGGAATATATCTGTTGAAAATATGGGCGAGGAAAAAAAACAGCAAAAGTTTTTGAGCTACGACCAATGTCCAGGAACATAGCTTGTTTGTAAATGAAGGTTCTACTGTATACAATGAATGCAGCTCATTTATGCACAGGTCAATAGTTGTAAAGTGCTATATGTTTTTAGATTAATTTTTACATTTTCTAAAAAGAAAATATGACCATGTTAATTTTAGCTACACTTTTTTTTTTTTTAACAAGTTGGCCATTTCCCACCAAGGCAGGGCAATCCAAAAGAAAGAAAACCCAAAAAGAAAGAAAAAACTTTCATTATCATTCAACACTTTCACCATCACTCATACATAATCACTGTCTTTGCAGTGGCACCCATATACGACAGTTTAGATAGTCACTCCAAACTGTCAATATCCCAAACCCCTCCTTTAAAGTGCAGGCTTTGTACTACTTCCCATTTCCAGGACTTACATCTGGCTAACCGGACATGCATGTAATAATAATAAAAAATAAAGGGCATTTGTTGCAAATAAGAAGCCTCTAATCTCTGTATCTCAGAAATGGTCATAATTTTATTTTTAACTGAACTTTTACCAAAAGCATTGCTTCCTTTAATAATCCTAATTTCTATGGTAAATTTATATACAAAATTAGATAAATTTAACCTGATAATGAATTTAATTTAGATGTTAAAAAAAATATTCAAATGGAAAAACACAAATAATAATTTTCAAAATAGTATAGTTTGGGCACAAAGAGGATAGAGGTGGAAAAGCATGATGCAAAGGGTGCATATATTGGGTGAAAGGCAAGAGTAGGGGGGCTCATGTCAAAAATGGTTGGAGGGAAGGGGTAAAGGAGGCTGAATTACAGGAGCTTCAGCATCCAGCAGGCATGTGTGAGCATGCTAGATAGGAGTGAATGGAAACAACTGGTTTTTTAATGGACATGCAGGCAGAGTATGAACAAGATAACATGAAAGTATTACAGAAAACCAATTAGATGGACTTGAATCCTGGACATGGCAAGAGCAATGCCTGTACTCTGATAGGGTAGGAAAGTTGCAGTTGGAGTGTAGTCTGAATAATCTGAAATGTGGTGTCAGCACAACTGTCACCCTGGTACCCTGCCTTGGCAGGAGATGGCCACTGAGATAAATCAAATTTTTTTAATTAAAGTACAAGAATTTCTAGTTAATGATAAAATACTATATCTGTACTTAAAAAAAAACATCTGTTTTAAATTGTATTATCACCAAACATACCTGAATATTCCACAAAAGTGGCTACTGCTATTATCACATATAACTACCAAAACGGTATTCATTGAGCATCTAAGAAAGAGAACAGAAGGAAAACTAATTAGTAGGAAGGACTGTAATATTACTAACCTGAGAGGAGGTATCCATCTTGAGCAATTCTCGAAGTGCAATTGTAGCATATGAAGATGCTGGTAGTGTCATTTCTAGGATCACAGCTCTGTGTGGACCCTCTGGCAATACAAAAGAAAAATTTGATAGCTCTTTTTTTTGTTTAATTCTTACACTGTACTACACATTTCAATTATATGAAGTAGAGTAAGCAGACCAATGCACTTGAAAAAAATAATAATAATACAATACATTCATCAACCTTAAGATGAATAAGTTTCATAGTTTAATTTTTTCCACCAACCATTCTTATATTGTCAAAAAAAAAAAGTTCATTTCCATAATGCAACGTACCGCAGTTATATCTGGCATACAGCCTGACTTCCTTTAACGTACATATATTAATAATTCTCTGTGCAGTGCTTCCTGGCTTCTTGGATCTTACCACTCAACACCTGATTCCTTGAACCTCGTTTGCTCAGCACTTGACTACCTGGCCTATATGTACTATACAAGATGTTTCTGTTGTATTTTATGTACTTGATAAAGCCAATATGTGACATAACACTGTGCCAATAAAGACTCCTCTGCAATCAGTGTCTTACTCACCAATAAACACCACATTAATATTACAACCTTTTTATTATTATATGTAAGGGAAAACGCTATACCCACAGAATGCATACAGTACTTGGGAAATGGGAGGCAATTAGGTTCAATCCCAGAAAGGTTAGAACAGGTCTAATTCCCTGGATTGAGAGCCCCTCACCAGCAGAAGGAAATTCCTTAGAAGGGTTCACTTTTCAAACTTAACCAACAAACTTTAAATTAATACTGGATGACATCCAGTTTTAATTTCCATTTTGTAGAGAAATTGTGAATAATTTCAGGATTGGTACTGTGACCCATTCTTGAGGCTCATGGAATGTGTACTATGTTAATCTAGTCATCGAAGCTGAATTCCTAATGAAAATTTTATACTGTACACTAAGCTGTAATATCAGCACAACTTTGGCAAGACAGTATAAAGCAGGGATGGGCAAACGTTTCAGTGCCATCAACTGGGAACTGTACTTGTTTGATAATGCTTGGCTAACAGCTCATGTTTTCAATAGAGGAAAATGAACAAAGTTTTGCTCATTCAGCTGCATATACGTGAGTATATGACTTGATCTTGGTGGGCCGCATGAAAAGCTTTGGCGGGCCACAGTTTGCCCACCCTTGGTATAGAGTGAGTGATGGTAAAAAATGTTCCTTCTTTCTAGGGGTCACCTACCTCAGTGGGAGACAGCCAGTGTTAAATAAAAATAATTGCAAACTGCACCAATTGCATACAGTGAATATAAACCCTACAACACAGATACTGTTATAAATGGAACATCAGATATTAGTGAATTCACTTAAAAGTAAGGAAAATGTGTATTATACTGGTAACATTTTTTTAATATACCAATCACACGTTTATTCATTACAAAGCCTTTTTAAATCTCCATCATTCAGAAGTCTGCATATTAGATGCCCACAAATCTATTCTGTCGAGAGAACACTAAGATACGTTGAGAAGAAAATTTATCATTGGTCACTCAGCTTGGCTATTACAGAATATGGATCTTACCAATACTGCACATATGAACGTAACACTTGATCTAGGTGCAAACACAAATGCAGATACACTGGATATTAGAATAATTTTCTACCTTTTAAGACAAATAAATAATGAGATACGCTTAGTGCACTGAAATATGGAATAGAATACTGCACATCACCCTTCATATATGAGTCAATAACAGTGGGTCAAAGTCTCAAAGCTTAGAGAATTATTAACATGAGATGAAGACTGTAGTGTATTGATCTCACCTTCTAATATATTATCTTTAACCTCAGCACCTCGCAACTTGTCCATATCAGACTGGATGAGTGATTTACTGGGATCTTTGTAGTAACATAGTGTTCCATTGACATTTGTGGGTCGAACAATCAATCGTCGATAGGCTCCACCCACTGCATATGATCTGATCATGAAGAAATATACAAATAAATGAAATAACCATTAACCTTATAATGTGCTCTCATGCAAAGATATTTTTATAGAAATATATAGCGCCTGCACTGTAAAGGAAGGGTGGGGATATTTGTTGTTTAGAGGGTCATTTGAAGTCGTATCAACAGGCATCTGGCAAGACAGTGAGTGTGAATGGTGAAAGTTTTTTTTACTAGGTCACCCTGTCTCAGTGAGATAAAGCTAGTGTGTTAACCCTTTGAGGGTCAAGACCCTCACTCCTGAACTCCCACTCAGGATTGAAAAAATAAAGATGTATGTAACCATATTCAGTATTGATAAAAAATATGTCTAGGAGCAACAGTTAATTCTTCAAATGGTAAAAGAAAAAGCAATGTGCTACCAACAGATGAAAAGATGGGAATAATTGGTTAGCGAATGTTGCCAATGAGTATAGGGCTGGATAAAGTAGATGCATAAAATCAAAGTGAAAATTATGAGGTTTACCACAAATCAAGACAACAGAGCATCAGAGTGGTACAATAAAGCCAACAAAACATTTTTTAGGGATATGGATGATGGTATGTATGCATGTTTCAGACACTTAACACAGAGAAAGTACTGGTATTATGCAAGGAACTCAAGGCAGCAGCTGAGAAATTGGTTTCCCTCTCATGCAGAACTTATTTTAAGGCAAGTGATGGCTGGGCTGGAAAATATAAAGACATACATAGCATTAAAAGTAGACTAATTACTGGTGAAGCTTAAGTTCAGATTCAGACTAATAACCTTCTCAGGCTAAAATTAAAATATTACATTTATGAGAATAACTTACACTTTTATTCAAATTTGCCATGTTAATGAGACTAGGCTGAATTAGAGAAGTTTATTAGTAACACTAACACTATTTCTAATAAATTAGACGAGACTGCTAAAACATAAACTAAGGAAAGACTATCATCCTTATTATGCACCAAATCCTTTGATACCCTAAGATTAAGAAAGTAGTCATGGAGAAGGTTGTAAAACCCACAGTCCTAAGGAAATGTGGGGACAAACTACCTTTATTTTATCATAAAGTGCAGCAACTATCCAGTTTACATGTAATATAGTTATAAACTGATTATACATATTTCTATGAAGAGGTTACAGAGTATCATGAATATCACGAAGAACTAGTGAAGCTAAAGAACTGTTAACATTAGACAGTGCCCCTGCTTACCCAAATGTTGCTATTTTAACCTTAACCCTTAAACTGTCCAAACATAGATCTACGTTTGCTTGCGTAGCGCTCCGAACATAGATCTATGTTTTTTTATTTTCTTTCTTAGGGAGAAAATCAAGGTTGGAGCGCTACGCGTGCAAACGTAGATCTACGTTTGGACAGTTGAAGGGTTAAAGGATGGTTAATAAAAAATGGCCTGGCCACGGACTGGGCTGTGGGGGCACTGGCCCCAGAAATCCCCTCCAGGTATACCTATTTCACCTAATTAATGGATCATGGCATTATCTACAAAACTAAAAGTCGTATAAAAATTGTTTAGAGTTTTTGATAATTCTACATTCTGATGAAGGGGGAACCAAAGCAGGAATAATACAGAAGAGAAAACACTTGACAAAATGTGATGAAGGGGGAGCCAAAGCAGGGATAATACAGAGGTGAAAACACTTGACAAAATGAAAAGTTACACAACTAGGAAGCTATCTGCAACTGAGACAAAGTTTTAAGTGAGAATTAAGACTGCTTTGAGGAACAATTGCCACAATTATGGACCTAGCATACTATTTACATTGATGTTTAAAAAACTTGTGGCTAATAACTGATTTATGGTAATTTTTTTTTAAACAAGTCGGCTGTCTCCCATTGAGGCAGGGTGACATATTTGGGTCGTATTAAATATGGTACAATCTTTTGCGATATAGCACTGAATTTACATTTACATTTAACCTCTGAAGTGTAATGGGCAGTCAATTATAAAAAGCCTCTTTCCGATGTTAGTATGAATCAGCTTCAAAAATTTTCAACTTATCTTCAAGAAAGGAGCACATTCTCAGCTAGTTATAGCATTTCTTAAACACTCATTTCATACAGCAGTACTTACAAGTTGCATAGGTGTGCCAGAAGAACCAATATGTCATTTGGGTATTTCAATCCAACCTACTGATAATAAAAAACACAAAAGCACGCTTTTGTAAAACATCCTCAACCATTAAAGTTCATATATAATTTATATAAAAACCACTAAACTCGTGTAGGTCATTGGAGAAGGAAAGAGATAGTAATCAAAGTATGGTCGAGGAGGAGGAGGAGGAGGAGGATAAGGAGGAGGATAAAGAGGAGGAGGATAAGGAGGAGGAAGATAAGGAGGAGGATGATGATAAGGAGGAGGAGGATAAGGAGGAGGAGGAGGATAAGGAGGAGGAGGATGGTAAGGAGGAGGAAGAGGATGATGAGGATGATAAGGAGGAGGAGGAGGAGGAGGAGTAAGGAGGATGATGATGATAAGGAGGAGGAGGATAAGGAGGAGGAGGAGGAGGATAAGGAGGAGAGGATAAGGAGGAGGAGGAGGATAAGGAGGAGGAAGAGGATAAGGGGGAGGAGGATAAGGAGGAGGAGAATAAGGAGGAGGAGGAGAAGGATAAGGATGATGATAAGGAGGAGGAGGAGAAGGATAAGGATAAGGAGGAGGAGGAGGATAAGGAGGATAAGGAGGAGGAGGATAAGGAGGAGGAGGAGGAGAAGGATAAGGAGGAGGAGGAGGATGAGGAGAATAAGGAGGAGGAGGAGGAGGGGGAGAATAAGGAGGAGGAGGAGGTTAAGGAGGAGGATGAGGAGGATAAGGAGGAGGAGGATAAGGAGGAGGAGAAGGATAAGGAGGAGAAGGATAAGGAGGGGGAAAGATAAGGAGAAGGAGGATAAGGAGGAGGAAGATAAGGAGGAGGAGGATGATAAGGAGGAGGAGGAGGATGATGATGATGAGGTTTGAGGAGGAGGATGAGGATGATGAGGATGATAATGAGAGGATGATGATGATGAGGATGATGAGGATGATGATGAAGAAAGGGGAAGGCATGAAGAGGGAAGGATTGGGTGGATGAGAGTGGGTGGGGTGGGGAGGAGAGAAGAGTGAAGAGGAGAGGTGCATAAATGAGAGGACAGGAGGGAAAGGATTAGAGTAAGGAAGGAAAGAGGTTTCTGGAGAAGAGAGAAAAAGGAGGGGATGATCACACAACATGATGATACTACGAAACATTAAGCTGCGGCAACTCTCACCATAAAGGTACTCACTTGACTCGGTGCTTCAGGGCTTCAAAAGACAAGCCATCAGCCTCCAATAATTCAGCATACCAGTCTTTAATTTCACTCTCAGGATACATTACACTATAGCCAGGCAGTGGCAAAAGGACCTGAAACATGTGGGCTTTTGTAAATTTTGAGGAAACCCTGACAAAGACATGGGATGAAACACATATATTACATATACATGTATTTGAAAAGGAAACACTTTTGATATTACTTACATTATCACTGATGACTGCACAATTGATATTTCAAGTTCCATATCCGTATTTTTGCATATATTCAAACTATTATCAACATAACTCATTTTTCTGCTCTAATGTTGAAACTAGTATTTTTTTAACACACTGGCTGACCCCCACCGAAGCAAGGTCACCCAAAAAGAAGAAACGTTTTCACTATAACTGTCTTGCCAGAGGGGTACCAATATTACAGTTGAAAACTGCAAAATCCCCACCCCTCCTTCAAGAGTGCAGGCACTGTACTTCCCACCTCCATGATTTAAGTCCAGCTAATTGATTAAAACTTTTTTTTTTTCAACAAGTCGGCCATCTCCCACTGAGGCAGGGTGACCCAAAAAGAAAGAAAATCCCCAAAAAACAAAATACTTTCATCATCATTCAACACTTTCACCTCACACATAATCACTGTTTTTGTAGAGGTGCTCAGAACACAACAGTTTAGAAGCATATACGTATAAAGATACACAACATATCCCTCCAAACTGCTAATATCCCAAAACCCCTCCTTTAGAGTGCAGGCATTGTACTTCCCATTTCCAGGACTCAAGTCCGGCTATATAATGGAATTAATTCAAGACAGGCAATAAAAAATTAAGAAGTGGGCCAAATAACTGAAGTTCCTCTCATACAAACACACATGCACTGTAATGACACTTACATCTGAAATATCTGCTGTCTCTGCCTCTTCTTTTGTCAAAAAGCATAGATCTGGAGTTTTATTGCCATTTGTTTCTTCGCCCTCAATGTCTGCCTTTGCCTCTTGATCGGCTGCCTCCCCTTCTGAAATGTGACTGTCATTACTCTCGTCTTCAATTACTTCTAATGGCAGGGTTTTAACTTTCGCCCAATACTTCCCTAATTCTTCTTCAGCTTTCCTCTTGCTTTCTCTTACCACTCTTTTAGCTCTCTGCTTTGCTTCTTGATATCTTTTCTGGCGCTCTTTCCGCTCCTCTTCACTCACGCCTTCCGTCTGCATTTTCAAATAATAAGCTTCTTTTTTTTCTTGCACAGCCTTCGTTACTTCAGCGTTCCACCAATGCGTACCCACCTTCTCACTATTGGAGCCTTCGTTATTGAATGGTGTTGTAACTGGCAACTCTGGAGAAGACACCAGCCTTGATGATGACACTGAGAAATAGTTTTAAACTGAAAGTAAATGACAGAAAGCAGCTGACTGAATAGTGGACTGCTGTATTAGCTAACGTTTGACCATGCAAAGATAGTTGAGCGTTTAATGTGCCAAAAGCCTCGGTATTCTTTGCAAATAATAAATTTACATAAGACCCCCACCCTTGCTTTGCAAATGCAAAGCCAGAAGAAAACTGCACATCATGAAGAGTAACCTACAATGACCAGAAACTCCCACAAAAATGGGGTGGAACAAAGACATGAAAGCAAACCTATCTTGGACTACGTTTCACTTTACTATAAGTTTGTAAAGTCCTAACATAAAGCATTGCTAGAACTTAGATTCACCATCATAGTGAGTAGAGAAATGTTATACAGCCTCGTCGTGATGTACATAAGCAGGTTTAATGTCTCCAGTTAGGTTTGAGTTGGTTTTGAAAAAACGAGATGTGAAAGGCGTGTTGCAAAACTGAATATTCTCCTATTCAGTCTGTTCTATGTTAAATAGTATAACTATTATTTACAGTTCCCTTTCTTATTCCATTTTCTAATTACTAGCCTAATTCTGTTCATGTTGATGAATGGTTAAGATGGTAATTGACGAAGTTAAAGTGAGGAAATGTCTAGAAGCAGCAGTTAAAGACACAGCATCAAATAGAACTCAGAACCTTTCAACATAACACCAGCTCAAGTAATTTATTCTCCAATAACTAGACCCATCCATCAACAAGTCCATTCCCAAATATCTGAACACATTCGCTTCCTCTACGAGTCCTCATTTCAATATGATATCCAATCTTTCATTACTTTAATCATTTGTTACCCTCACTACCAAATTCATCCACCAACTTTTGCAACTTCTCTTCAGAATCTTCCAAAAACAGTGTCATTGGCAAAGAGCAACTGTGACAACTCCCATTTTGTAGTAGATTCTGCATATTTTAATCCAACCCTTTTCTCTAGCATTTGCTTCTTTTACAACCCCATTTTTATGTTAAAAAACCATGGTGACATCACGCATCCTTGCTGGAAAATAATCTCTCTCTCCCCCATGTACCCTAACCTGAGTCTCACTATCCTTATAAAAACTCCTAACTTCTTTCAGTAACCTATCACCTATTCCATAATACACTTGCAACATCTACAACATTACTCCCCTATTTACCTTATCATCATATACCTTTACCTCAATACTTATATGCATCAATGTAAATGCTTAGTCTACACATCTCCTACCCTTCCTAAGCCTCCTTGTTCATCTATGATCCTGCTCTTCATCTTGCCCTTAATTCTTTCAATAATAACTACCATACAATTTACCTGGTATACTCAACAAATTTTTTTTTAATACACTGGCCATCTCCCACCTAGGCATGGTGACCCAAAAGAAGAAAGAAACACTTTCACCATCACTCACACATCTGCAGAGGTGTGCAGATACGACAGTTCAGATGTCACTCCAAACAGCAAATATCCCAAACTCCTCCTTTTAAAGTGCAGGCATTGTACTTCTCACCTTCAGAACTCAAGTCTGACTAACCAGTTTCCCTGAATCCCTTCACAAAATATTACCCTGCTCACACTCCAAACAGCTCATCAAGTCCTAAAAACCATTTGTCTCCACTTACTCCTATCTAACATGCTCACACATGCCTGCTGTATGTGCAAGCCCCTTTCACACAAAACCTCTTTTAACCCCTCCCTCCATCATTTCCTAGGACAACCCATACCCCTCATTCCCTCCACTACAGACTTATACACCCTTCAAGTCATCCTATTTTGCTTCAGGTCACCCTGCCTCGGCGGAAGACGGCCAGCATGTTAAAAGAAAAAATATGTTACCCTCCAAAAATATGCAAGGAGAAGGGGTTACTATCTCCTTGTTTCCAGAATTTTATTTGCCTTTTATGACATGCATGACTTTGGGAAAAAGGATTTTTTCCACTTCCCCATGGATTTTTTTTTTAATAAGTCAGCCATCTCCTACCGAGGCAGGGTGACCCCCCAAAAAAAAAAGAAAATCCCCAAAAAGAAAATACTTTCATCATCATTCAACACTCTGACCTCACTCACACATAATCACTGTTTTTGCAGAGGTGCTCAGAATACAACAGTTTAGAAGCATATATGTATAAAGATACACAACATATCCCTCCAAACTGCCAATATCCCAAACTCCTCCTTTAAAGTGCAGGCATTGTACTTCCCCATGGATATGAACAGAAAATAAATAAGAACAAGAACTATTAAGAAAATAGAAGGAAACTCAGATGGGTGTGCATACATATATGTGTACATGCATGTGTAGTGTGACCAAGTGTAAGTGGAAGTCGCAAGACATAACTGTTATCTTGCATGTTTATGAGACTGAAAGAAAAGACACCAGCAATCCTACCACTGTGTAAAACAATAACAGGTTTCTGTTTCACACTAATCTGGCAGGACAGTGGTACCACCCTGGGTGGTCCATATTATGCAATTTCCTGTGTGTGTATATTGCCTAGAATGCCAACTATGCAGAACTGTCATCTCGATACTTCGAGTCATCATCATTAGTCTCAAGTTCCATAATAAAGATAAATACAAAACGTGCTACGCTAACCTTCTTCATCAGTTTTGTCCCCCTTCCGACGAACTATATCTCCTGGCAGAACCTTAAGGCCGTATTTCTCAATACGCCGAGATGCTACAATGTTCCACAAGTAGCTCTGGTATGCATGGAGATAAAGTAACCGTGTATTGCGAGGAATCTGTGAGGGAAGAAAATCTTTGCATTAAATTAAATCTTGCTTTAATCTTAAGTTCTTCCTTCAAGGGGTTATTTAGTCAGGTCAACTGAATACGTATTTACTTACAGTGTGCATAGGATAAATAGTATACAGCAACTTGTTACAGAACTGATTTAAAAACCATCCCCAGCATTAAAAAAAACAAACAAAAAAAAAAAAAGTTGTCTTAATGGAGTTAGTTGTATACAGGCCATTCTTCATTACAAATAAAATTAACATTTAAACTGTGGTAGTTCATGAAGAAAATAACAGAACAAGGTTGTTCCTAAGGTAGAGGTAAACAGTTGTTTTTAGCCTTACACGATCAAGTGCTCCTACAAGGTCATTCCTTTGTAGCTGAACAAGGCCAGTCAGGAGCTGAGCCTCAACTGATGATTCCCATCCTTTGGGAAGTGATTTAAGAGCTGCTTCTGCATCTCCAGTTTCTTTCCAAGTGATGCGACACCGGTTAAGTTCAGGAATATCATTCTCACGTGGAGCAAGTATGAGGTTAACAGCCTGTTGAACAAAATTTAAGTTTATAATGATGTAATAAATGACTACTGTAAGTTATATTAGAAATACTACATAGAGCAAAGAAATCAAGGTATCTGTCACGAAAATGCTTAGACAAGACGGATGGATACAGTAACATGCTTACCTTTCAATGAGGGCAAATCAGAAATCAAAGACAGGATATAATCATCACCTTATACTTCTGAAACTTCAATGATGATTTCAAGATGTGACCCTGTCTGATAATGGATACTGAGTATATGAAAGTAAAGCAAGTAATTTGTTAGAAGACTTTATGGGAAGCATTTGAATCAGCATTCTATCTCTACTCCTTAGCATATTCTTGTCTTTAGCTTGTATACAAACTTGAATAACATCCCTTTTTTTTTATAACTTAGCCTTTACTGCATGAAGATCCTAAAATAATTTACCACAGTATTTTCTACAGAGTAACTTACCTTTCATTACATGATACATTTGGTGTTATTTAAAACCAGATATTATTATTCCTGAAAAGCATATTGAGTACAGTAATATGACAAAATGATGCTGATGTTAAGAGGCAGATACATGGAGGGTGAGCACAAGAAAAAAAAAAACATAATTGGTGTTTTAGTTAAGAAGTCACTGAGTGAATCTTCACAAACGTGGGATTTTCAGAGGCATAGATTTCTTAAGGGTATCAGGTCATTAAAAAAAATTGTCGAAAATAATGTTCATCTGAGTCTAGTGTGCCTAATATAGTCATTTTCCCAATCATACTACCTACCTACCCACTCTTTCAACTTTCCTGTCCTCCACATATTCTTATTATATCATATTCACTTTAACATTTTCCCATCATCTTATAATCTTCATTATTACTCAATCTTCCTATGACTACACACTTTTTTTTTTCAACAAGTCAGCCATCTCCCACTGAAGCAGGATGACCCAAAAAGAAAATACTTTCATCATCATTCAACACTTTCACCTCACTCATAAATAATCATTGTCTTTGCAGAGGCTTTCAGATATGACAGTATAGAAGCCCCTCCAAACTGTCATTATCCCAGACCCAGACCCAGGACTCAAGTCCGGCTAAATTTATAATAACCGGACACATTACACCACATTAACAAATAAATAAACACTTCAACTGTAAAAATATATTACTGATGCAACAAAAAATAAAATGCAACTAAAAATGGAAAACCATACCTGTTGCCAATTGCTCTTCAAAAGTTCTCGACCAATAACGTATGTTGGGATGGTGGTAGTACCAAACCGCTGAGTTCCATAGTAATTAATAAAGCCAGTAGTCTTCAAAGATTCAATTGCAGATGTTATTACTTCATCAGTTCCCTTCACTTCTCTGTTAAAAATCATCAGTTCATTACTACATCGGTGTAGACCGAGTCCAAACATGCCATGTATGTCATGAACCATTACCTCTAGTAGGGTTGTGCCTAAGTACTGGTACTGGTGGTATCGGCTAATTTTAATGGTACTACTCGGTATCAGCAGTGGTGGGTATTGGTCAATTTTTATGGTATCAGTATCAGCCACCCCGCCTCGGTGGGATACGGCCAGTGTGTTGAAAAAAAGAAGAAAGAAAGATCAGCCTAATGCCGAGGATCAGTAGTGACAAAAATTCTGGTATATAGGCATCGCCAAAATTTTGGTATTATCCCATCCCTAATTTCTACAAAAATTATCTTAAGAATAAACATAGCAGCATATTGACCAATGGTTAACACAATGATGATTTTGTTACCATAAGGTACAGTATATACAGTACATATGTAACACAATTATTTTTTTTTAACACATCGGCCATTTCCCACAGAGGCAGGGTGACCCAAAAAGAAAAAAAAAACTTTCATCATCATTCAACACTTTCATCATCATTCATACATAATCAATGTCTTTGCAGAGGTGCTCATATATGACAGTTTAGATGTACCTCCAAAATGCCAATACCCCAAACCCCTCCTTTAAAGTGCAGGCATTGTATTTCCAATTTCCAGGACTCAAGTCCTGTTCACTGTACTGGAATGATCAAAACCCCCAATGTGTAAGAAGTCTCATAATTATCCTACATGTTACATGTGTGTCTATGTTCCACAGTTAGTCAGAATTGTTTCACCTAGTACAGTACTTGTCCCAACGTATATTAAACTAAACTACTGCATTTTAGTTATAAATTGTCACAATAATAAAAATCGGATACCTTTCACTTAGAAAATAAATACAATCAAGACAAACCTCAAAACAACTCTAAAGTGATTCCCTCGGAGCTGACCCAATTTCTGAGGGGTAGGTCGAAAACGAAAGTTGCCAAGTTCAATTCCCCTGTGATTCTTAGTTGCATGCCAAAGTTTATGAGGAGCAACCTAAAAAAAAAAAAAATCAGACTGAAATACAGTATACAGCATTTGAATCATATACATTTTGTCATTATAATTTCCATCCAGAATATTTAAAGCAATATGAATGGGTATAGTAGTATGAAAGATGTAAGTCAAAAAGCAGGAAAGAGGTTGCCGAGATTTTTTGGTCACAGACAAAATGAACCTAGATTGGATATTACAGTGTTGCTGAAATGAAGAACAAAAACGCACAATACCATAACTGGAACAATACACAAATAACCCGCACTAAGAAGAGAGGAGCTTACAACGGCATTTTAGTCCAACTTGGACCATTTACAAAGTCACAGTTAGTGTGACTTTGTAATGGTCCAAGTCAGACCAAAATGCCATCGTAAGCTCCTCTCTCTTTGTGCAGGTTATCTGTGTATTGTTGAAATGGCAAAAGCAGAGTACTGAAAAGGTACAGATTCTAAGAAAAATGCATAAAAAAACAAAACAATGTACAGCACTACTTACTCGACTTACAGATACAAGCTGACTTGTCTTGGCACGTCTGTCTTTGGTTCCAGCATAACAAAAATTGTTAGGTTTTACCCTGGAATACACAAAATTAAAAATATTACACAAAACTTAAACAATTACTCTAACAATAACTTTCCATAATGAACTAACCCATATATTACTTGTACTGTATTCTAAAAACCGAAATATGATTCCACTCCAGCTATCTCTTAAATACTAAGAGCACAGTTTTATCTGTTATAAATACAGTAAATCATCCATTATCCAGCTGCTATCTTTTATCTGGCATCTACCATTACAATTTATCTGTTAGCTATGTAGTGTACTGCCTATTCCTGAGGTCACTGATTTCATATACTATGTTAGGTTTCTGAGGCCTACACCCTCAGGAATAGGCAATACACAATTATAGCAGACAGTTTGGATAAGTTGTAATTGTTTTACATGATGGTAGGATTGCTGGTGTCCTTTTTTCTGTCTCATACACATGCAAGATTTTAGGTACGTCTGCTACTTCTACTTACACTTAGGTCACACTACACATACATGTACAAGCATATATATACACACCCCTTTGAGTTTTCTTCTATTTTCTTTCTAGTTCTTGTTTATTTCCTCTTACCTCCATGGGGAAGTGGAGCAGAATTCTTCCTCCGTAAGCCATGTGTGTTGTAAGAGGCGACTAAAATACCAGGAGCAAGGGGCTAGTAACCCCTTCTCTTGTATATATTACTAAATGTAAAAGGAGAAACTTTCATTTTTCCTTTTGGGCCACCCCACCTCAGTGGGATACAGCCGGTGTGTTGAAAGAAAGAAAAGTTTGGCTAAGTACCTAGCAAAATTACTAGGTTCCATTAACAGCATCCATCTTAAACATTCAGAGAGCTTACTAGAATAAAGGATTTATATATATAAAAAATCTAGGTAGTAGGTTGGTAGACAGCAACTGCCCAGGGAGGTACTACCGTTCTGCCAAGTGAGTGTAAAACGGAAACCTGTAATTGTTTTACACGATGGTAGGATTGCTGGTGTCTTTTTTCTGTCTCATAAACATGCAAGATTTCAGGTACGTCTTGCTACTTCTACTTACACTTAGGTCACACTACACATACATGTACAGGCATATATATACACGCCCCTCTGGGTTTTCTGCTATTTTTTTCTAGTTCTTGTTCTTGTTTATTTCCTCTTATTTCCATGGGGAAGTGGAACAGAATTCTTCTTCCATAAACCATGCGTGTTGTAAGAGGCGGCTAAAATGCCGGAGGCAAGGGGCTAGTAACCCCTTCTCTTGCATAAATTACTAAATTTAAAAAGAGAAACTTTCGTTTTTCTTTTCGGGCCACCCTGCCTCAGTGGGATACGGCCGGTTTGTTGAAAGAAAAGATATATAAAAAACAAGAAACTTGCCAGTCTTGAAGTTGTTTCCCCTGGTTACCAGTGCCTATGCACTAAGCAATCAACCTTCTATTTAGAATAGTTACTAGCTATCTCAATCCACTTATGGATCCATCCATCTTGTAATCCACTTAGGTATCCATCCATCTTACAAAAATTCTTAATGCAGCCCACAACAGGAATGCTGTTTCAACCTTTTTCACCATAAAAGAACTGACCAGATTAAAAAACAATCATTCAAAAACAGAAAATGCTGGTGTATACTTCATCTTAGGCAATACTTGACAAAATATACATTGGAAAACTTAAAGCATACAGATAATGGAACAGAAGCATGCACATCACATACAAAACACCAATAATGCTTTCATCATACAAAGAGATGGACACATCCATCATATGAAACTGATCAGCAAGGAGATAAATATAGATGTGAATGTTTAGAATCTGCTTTAATCAGCACATCTAGTAAGATTTCAGAAAATTAAAGTTTTCAAATTGCAAAACTGTTGGCACACTTATTCCTTTAAAAAAAGATCTGAAACATGCAAGACTACAAACAGACCCACATCTCTATACAAAAACATTGGAGTGAAAGAGCACTGCAGATGGGCCTAACGGCCTATGTTAGTCAGGGCTTTCTACTTCAGTGACCGAACAAGTCACTGAAGTAGAAAGTCCAGTCACCTGCTATTGTGCCTCACTTACTTGCTATCTTTCTGCTATATACACTCTAACTTGTGTATTAAATCAACCCATGAAAAGGCTTTTTTTTTTTTTTTTCAACAAACCGGCCATATCCCACCTAGGCAGGGTGGCCCAAAAAGAAAAATGCAAGTTTCTCGTTTTAAATTTAATAATATATACAGGAGAAGGTGTTACTAACCCCTTGCTCCTGGCATTTTACTTGCCTCTTACAACATGCATAGCTTACAGAGGAAGAATTCTGTTCCACTTCCTCATGTAATATTTTATCAGAAATAGAACACTTAAAAAATACACTACTTTTTAACAAAAATTCCTTCATTATTTGACATTTTAGAAAAATCCAGCATACCCCTCCCCTTTCTCATTAGTGCCAGAAAATGGGTGAATCACTGTATATTACATTAAGAAAATTAAATGAAAATAGGGAATTCACATTTTATAGCACAAAGATTACAAATCTCAAATACTGCATAAAATACAGTACTATAATCAAATATCCATTCACTGACAGCCTTAAAAAGGTAGGTTGGCCCACAAACAGAAAACATTCACCATCATTCATTCAAAAGCTGTCTTGCCAGACATGCACAGACATCACAATTCAATGAATCTTTTGAACGGTAACATCCTCACCCCTACTTCAAGAGTGCAAGCACTGTACTTCCCACATCTAGGACTTAAAGTCAGGCTAACCAGTTTCTGCAAATTCCTTACTAAAATGCTTAACTGTATATCAAATCAAAGAATAAAAAGGCACAATACTGTGACTGGAACAATACACAATTAACCTGAGCATAGGAGAATGAAACCTAGGATGACGTTTCGGTCCAACATGGACCGAAACATCGTCATGAGATTCCTTCTCCTATGTGTTTGTTATTTGTGTATAGTATGTCAAATCTCCAAAAACCACTTGCCTCCAATTACTCATTCTAATACCCAAAGAAAATTATTAATTTTCATCTGTACAACTATTTAGCCAAATAATAAACACTTTAATATACAATTTTAGTAGATTTTGCAAGAAAAATACTGGGTTAAAAGTGATAAAAGTACTCTATCTGTATACTTACTAAACACACATATACTGTAAATAATAACAAAAAAGAAAATAACCTGGTTTTCCAAGCAATGTAATTGATAGCTTCCATAGTATCAATATTTTCTTTGTATAGTACAAATGTGGTATACATCTGAGACTTGGGCCATGTAGTCCTCTCTCGTCGCACACTACCTGCTGGAATGAGGGAAAATCTTTATGCTGTCAGAAAATATTCCAAAACATATTTTATTAATCCACAAAACTCAAGATGGAGTTTATGGTCTTTTACTGCCTAAAATGCCATAAACTGCACATTATTTCTTATTCACATATTTATCAAAATATTCTTCCACTGATATACAAGTCTAAACTTTTTCACATTAATAATTAATATTGTTAACCAATTCAGAGTTTCTAATCAAATGTTATGAGCCATTACTACTTCTTAGTCTCATCTCTAGCATATAATATGTATAATGTATGCTGATTTTAACAGAACTGACTGCATAACAATGCTGTTAGTCACTTTATCAAATGACTTACTTTTTTTCCTTCTAACAAGAATGTACCTCCCACCATCCTCCATCTCTTTATAGATGCTGTCAACCACACGGTACTTGGCCTTAACTGCTCGGTGAATGGCAGTTCTTCCCTCTTTGTCTGTATTGTTTACATCAATCAAGACCTCTTTGGGTGCATCTGAAACAAATATTGAGAAATAATTTTTCCTGAAAGCAAAATAAATCTCCTGGCTCCAACAGTTTTCAAAGAGTGTAAGAATAAATTTAGTGTGGCCTCTAGCTAGCCTGTTCAACACATCACTGCAAAGAGGTGCTAAGTGAACTAGTAACAAACTCTCTAATTAAATCATGGGTATAAAATGCCAACAAATTTATGAACAAGATACATATGAAACAAGTGGATGCTTGATTTGAGAGACATTTCACTAAGGACATTCATCAGTGTAATAGACGTGAGAGAGGAGACTCACATCTCCACTAATAAGTCCTGTCCATGCTTATATGAATACTCATACTTTGTTACTACAATTACACCTCACTGCTTCCTCTACAGAAAGCTTGCAATCACACTATTCCAATCAGCTGTCCTGCCACACTAGTGGGCAAACATACCTTTTTATATCAACATTTTTTTTATTTCATGGAAGAAACACTAAACCAGTAGAGGTTATACTGTATCTTGAGAAATGGAAGGCAATCAGAGTCAATGAAAGGGAAGGCAGCTCCAATTCCTTGAATCAAAGGCCTATCATCTGCATTAAGACACCTACCTTGAAGTTTCTTTTTTCAACAACCATCAGGTTTAAATAAAACTGGTCAGTGTAGTGATGGTGGTGGGTGTAGTGGTGAGTGGTGGGTGTAGTAGTGAGAGGTGGGTGGAGTAGTCATGGTGGTCAGTGGAGTAGTGATGGTGGTGGGTGGAGTAGTGATGGTGGTGAATAGAGTACTGATGGTGGTGGATGTAGTATTGGTGGTGGTGGTGGGTGTAGTATTGATGGTGGTGGGGTGTAGTATTAATGGTAGTGGGTGAAGTAGTGATGGTGGTGGCTGGAGTAGTGATGGTGGTGGGTGGAAAAGTGATGGTGGCGGGTGCAGTAGTGAGGGTAGTGGATGGAGTAGTGATAATAGATGGTGGGTGGAATAGATGTGGTGTGGATGGAGTAGTGAGGGTGGTGGGTGTAGTAGAGATGGTGGTGGGTAGAGTAGTGATGGGTGGGTGGAGTATACAATATTTTGTATTCATAAATGCGTTTTTCTTATTTAAAAACCCGTAACAAATAAATTGGGGTGGTTTTTTGGGGGACTGGAACAGATTAATGGTATTTCAGTTAATTTCAATGAGTAAAATTGATTTGATGTACGAGTAAATTGAGTTTCAAGCATGGTCACAGAACAAATTAAACTCGTAAGTCAACGTACCACTTTATATACAAATGTAAGGTAGGTCAACTTTTATAGTTCAGTAGTACAAATGTGAAAGCCCTCAAAGATAATACAAATAAAAGAACAAGGTCTACACTCAGGATATTTTTGTTATCCATGGAGGCAAAGAAGGGAATGTACAAGAGCATAGCGGTACCAACACTCTTATATGGGTGTGAAGTATGGGTTGTGAATGTTGCAGTGAAAAGGCTGGAGGCAGTGGAGATGTCGTGTCTAAGGGCAACATGTGGTGTAAATATTATGCAGAGAATTTGTAATGTGGAAATTAGGAGGAGGTGTAGTTACTAAAAGTGTTCATCAGAGGGCTGAAGAGGGGTTGTTGAGGTGGTTTGGTAATTTAGAGAGAATGGAATAAAGTAGAATGACTTGTAGAGTGTATAAATCCGAGGGGTTGTCCTCAAAAAGGTTGGAGGGAGGGGGTAAAGGAGGTTTTGTGGACGAGCTGTTGGAGTGTGAGCAGTGTAATATTTTGTGAAGGGATTCAGGGAAACTGGTTAGCCGAACTTGATTCCTGGAAGTGGGAAGTACAATGCCTGCGCTTAAAGAAGTTTGGGATATTGGCAGTTTGGAGGGACATCTAAATTGTCATATCTGAGCGCCTCTGCAAAGACAGTGATTATGTATAAGTGATGGTGCAAGCGTTGAATGATGATAAAAGGTTTTTCTTTCTTTTTGGGTTGTTCTTTCTTTTTCGGTCACCCTGCCTCGGTGGAAAACAGCCGACGTGTTAAAAAAAAAAATCTGGTCCTGGCAGGACCATGGGACCTGAGACATGTAGAGAGACCAAGATCTCAGGAACAAAACATAACCAATAAATATCCTGGCTGAATGAACCAAGTTCTTTCATCCCATTTGCCATATCAATATACCTTGTATCTTCGAGGAAAGTACCCTGATGCTTGTGAGGGGCTCTTCATCCAAGAAAATGAACCTATCCTTCCTTTCCTTGGATCGAACTTGAATACCTGCTATTCCCAGGTCCTGCGTGACCCAAAAGGGTTTAGAGTTTTCCCCTGAACCTAACATTAATGGCTGCAACTAAGTCTACATATTGTATATGTAACTACAGACAGTATAGGTTTCTATGGTTCCCTATTCTCATTACTTATGAATGCTGAAGTATGAATGTAACATGCTTATGTACAAAAACCACACACACATTCACATATTACTGACAAAGACTAAATTCAAAGTTTGTGGGTTCCCTCTTCACACTGGCCTCCAGGAAGATATTAATATGATGCCTGGGCTAAATTAGCATTAAACAAAAAGAATGTGGTTATAGGAGGGTGGGGGCAGGAGGAAAGAGGAGTGATTGGTGGAATGATGAAGTAAGGGGTGTGATAAAAGAGAAAAAGGTAGCTTATGAGAGGTTTTTACAAAGCAGAAGTGTTATAAGAAGAGCAGAGTATATGGAGAGTAAAAGAAAGGCGAAGAGAGTGGTGAGAGAGTGCAAAAAGAGAGCAGATGATAGAGTGGGAGAGGCACTGTCAAGAAATTTTAATGAAAATAAGAAAAATTTTTGGAGTGAGTTAAACAAGTTAAGAAAGCCTAGGGAAAGTATGGATTTGTCAGTTAAAAACAGAGAAGGGGAGTTAGTAGATGGGGAGAGGGAGGTATTAGGTAGATGGCGAGAATATTTTGAGGAACTTTTAAATGTTGAGGAAGAAAGGGAGGCGGTAATTTCATGCACTGGCCAGGGAGGTATACCATCTTTTAGGAGTGAAGAAGAGCAGAATGTAAGTGTGAGGGAGGTACGTGAGGCATTACGTAGAATGAAAGGGGGTAAAGCAGCTGGAACTGATGGGATCATGACAGAAATGTTAAAAGCAGGGGGGGATATAGTGTTGGAGTGGTTGGTACTTTTGTTTAATAAATGTATGAAAGAGGGGAAGGTACCTAGGGATTGGCAGAGAGCATGTATAGTCCCTTTATATAAAGGGAAAGGGGACAAAAGAGATTGTAAAAATTATAGAGGAATAAGTTTACTGAGTATACCAGGAAAAGTATACGGTAGGGTTATAATTGAAAGAATTAGAGGTAAGACAGAATGTAGGATTGCGGATGAGCAGGGAGGTTTCAGAGTGGGTAGGGGATGTGTAGATCAAGTGTTTACATTGAAGCATATATGTGAACAGTATTTAGATAAAGGTAGGGAAGTTTTTATTGCATTTATGGATTTAGAAAAGGCATATGATAGAGTGGATAGAGGAGCAATGTGGCAGATGTTGCAAGTATATGGAATAGGTGGTAAGTTACTAAATGCTGTAAAGAGTTTTTATGAGGATAGTGAGGCTCAGGTTAGGGTGTGTTCCCGGTAAAAGTAGGTCTTAGACAGGGATGTGTCATGTCACCATGGTTGTTTAATATATTTATAGATGGGGTTGTAAAAGAAGTAAATGCTAGGGTGTTCGGGAGAGGGGTGGGATTAAATTATGGGGAATCAAATTCAAAATGGGAATTGACACAGTTACTTTTTGCTGATGATACTGTGCTTATGGGAGATTCTAAAGAAAAATTGCAAAGGTTAGTGGATGAGTTTGGGAATGTGTGTAAAGGTAGAAAGTTGAAAGTGAACATAGAAAAGAGTAAGGTGATGAGGGTATCAAGTGATTTAGATAAAGAAAAATTGGATATCAAATTGGGGAGGAGGAATATGGAAGTGAATGTTTTCAGATACTTGGGAGTTGACGTGTCGGCGGATGGATTTATGAAGGATGAGGTTAATCATAGAATTGATGAGGGAAAAAAGGTGAGTGGTGCGTTGAGGTATATGTGGAGTCAAAAAACGTTATCTATGGAGGCAAAGAAGGGAATGTATGAAAGTATAGTAGTACTAACACTCTTATATGGATGTGAAGCTTGGGTGGTAAATGCAGCAGCGAGGAGACGGTTGGAGGCAGTGGAGATGTCCTGTCTAAGGGCAATGTGTGGTGTAAATATTATGCAGAAAATTCGGAGTGTGGAAATTAGGAAAAGGTGTGGAGCTAATAAAATTATTAGTCAGAGGGCAGAAGAGGGGTTGTTGAGGTGGTTTGGTCATTTAGAGAGAATGGATCAAAGTAGAATGACATGGAAAGCATATAAATCTATAGGGGAAGGAAGGAGGGGTAGGGGTCATCCTTGAAAGGGTTGGAGAGAGGGGGTAAAGGAGGTTTTGTGGGCGAGAGGCTTGGACTTCCAGCAAGCGTGCATGAGCGTGTTAGATAGGAGTGAATGGAGACAATGGTACTTGGGACCTGACGATCTGTTGGAGTGTGAGCAGGGTAATATTTAGTGAAAGGATTCAGGGAAACTGGTTATTTTCATATAGTCGGACTTGAGTCCTGGAAATGAGAAGTACAATGCCTGCACTTTAAAGGAGGGGTTTGGAATATTGGCAGTTTGGAGGGATATGTTGTGTATCTTTATACGTATATGCTTCTAAACTGTTGTATTCTGAGCATCTCTGCAAAAACAGTGATAATGTGTGAGTGTGGTGAAAGTGTTGAATGATGATGAAAGTATTTTCTTTTTGGGGATTTTCCTTCTTTTTTGGGTCACCCTGCCTCGGTGGGAGGCGGCCGACTTGCTGAGAAAAAAAAAAAGAAAAAAAAAAAAAAAAAAGAATGTGGAATATAATTTTGGTTTTCAAAACAGTTTACAAACCATTTGTCTATAAAAATCAATGCTAAACAAAAACTAGGAGAAAATTGACTTTGAGGTAGAAGAGACCAGATAAGATTTAGAAGATACAGTACCCATCATAATTTTATGATTTTAATAAAAATTAAGTGCTAAACCCACATGGTTCATATAGTAACCATCACAATGAAATGTGACAAATCTCTATAGAGAAAATTAAATTAACAGATTGCAAGACACTGTCACTGCTGAATTGCTTCACAAAATGTTACCCAGCTCACACTCCAACAGCTCGTCAAGTCCCAAAAACCATTCGTCTCCACTCACTCTTATCTAACATGCTCACATATGCCTGCTGTATATCCAAGCCCCTTGCACACAAAACCTCTTTTATTCCTCCCTCCCATCCTTTCCTAGCATGACCCCTACCCCTCCTTCCCTCCATTACAGACTTATACACCCTCCATCCTACCTAAATGACCAAACTGCAACCACTCCTCCTCAGACCTCTAAATAATACTTTTAGTAACCCCCACACCTCCTCCTAATTTCCACACTACGAATTCTCTGCATAATATTTGTGCCTCACACTGCCCTTAGAAACGACATCTCCACTGCCTCCAGCCTTTTCACTGCAACATTCACAACCCATGCTTCACACCCATATAAGAGAGTTGGTACCACTATACTCTCACACACTCCCTTCTTTGCCTCCAAGGATAATGTTCTTTGTTTTCAAAGATACCTTAACACACCACCCACCTTTTTTCCCCTTCATCATTTCCATGGTAAACCCATCCACCGACAAGTCTACTCCCAAATATCTGAACATATTCACTTCTTCCATACTTCCTCCCTCCAATCTGATATCCATTTTTTCCTTACCTAACTCGTTTGATACCCTCATCACCTTACTCTTATTTATCTTCGCTTTCAACTTTCTTCCTTTACACACCCTCCCAAACTCGTCCACTAACCCTTGCAACTTCTCTTCAGAATCTCCCAAAAGCACAGTATCATCAGCAAAAAGTAACTGTGTCAATTCCCATTTTGTATTATTATTGTTATTTTTATTATTATTATTATTATTATTATTACTATCATTATCTGTAGTAGTAATGTAGAGTTATGCTTAAAATACACTGGTACATGCTTGATCACCAATATGCCAGTCACTTACCTATGACATTACATGCAAACTCATGTTTGTATTAAACTGGTAAAGACACTGGTCAACTCAAATAAACATAGCTAGGTAATGCACATGTGGTTTATTCATCAATGAACACCACAATACACCTACCTCCTGTTTCCTTACCAAACTTGTCTTTATTCTTTTTGTAATTCTCAGCTGATGATCCCTTGTTGAAGGGTTCTTCTAATGGTTTCTTAAATATGCCTTCCACGTCTTTTGCTACTTCTGCTTCTTCAGTTATTTTATCCGATTCATCCTCTTCTTTTGATGCCATTTTGAATTCTGTTTCACTTTCCGTAAATTCATGATGTTCCATTTCTTCACTCTCGTCCTTTACTTTATCTACAGTTTCATGCTTGACGGTTTCCTGCTTAACATCATTTAAACCTTCCTCTGCTAATTTGTCATCCTGATCATTGTCTTCTTCACCATCATCATCTTGCATTTTTTTATCTTCATCTGCCTGTTGCAAGCTGATCTCAGACTCTTCCGTCTCACTCTGATCACATGTGGGAGTCTCCTCTGCTTCAAGGTCTTTTTTAGTTGGAGCAACAATGGGTAATCTCACAGGCTCTTTAATACCCACCAACCTATTTAGTTCACTGATCTTCTCTGGTGTCAGTTCTGGTGGTAGCTCAGCTGGTTCAGCTTTAAAATAGATTAAAATCATTGCTACAATTACAATACCTGAGGTCACATAAAGGTTTCTAAAAATCAATCAACAGTATATATTTATACACTTTTTACATCAAGATAAAAATTTATGCCATCTTTGTTAGGTATACCTGGTAAAATATGTTAGGTAACTATTAACAAAGAGAGGCCAGTTTTTCTAAAGGATAAGAGGACAAGAGAAGCATCAGCAGCAGGAGAGGTACGAACTAGATTACTACTCCTTCCTCCCAGTTTAAAGATGAATGCGAACCTAGCTCTTTGCTTCCTTTCCCTGATGTGCATATCAATCACTAAGCTACAGGCTTTTCTTTTTTCCGTTTATTGCAAGCTAATCCACAGTGGCATGTATATTCACTATTCTTACCATTCTCCCTGTCAAGAAAAGCATTATTTCTTTCTTTCTCTGTGCCCTCTGCATTTGTGACCCTCAGTTTCTGGACTCAGAAATTTCCACTCTTCACAGTTCATTCTCTCGCCTTAGCTACCTTTCCGATTTCGTGAATTCTGCCTACTCACATGCTAAACAGACTTCTTTTATTTCCCAAACTCTCTACCCCTGTGAAATCTGTTCTTTGCCTTCCCTATATTTCAAGTCTCCTAAATCTTGAACAAATCCCTCCTTTCCTTAGACATCAGACTTACTTTTTGACAGATTAATACCCTTTATAGTAATCTAGTTTGTTCCTCTCCTGCTACTGATGCCTCTGGAGTCTACTCCATTCCCTGCTTCTCTTATCCTCTCCAATACTTTGGACAAACTGGCCACTCTCTTTCTGACAGAGAGCACAACAGAAGTACATGTATTAGACTTGCTGATATTAATAATTATTGACATAGGGGAAAACAAAGAAAGATTGCAGATGAACAAGGTTAATTTAGGAAAGGAAGATGATGCAGATTAAGGATTTGAATTAAAACATTTATGTAAGCAACACAATGATATAGATAAGAAGCTATTATTTCCATTTATGAATTTGGAAAAGGTATATGCTAGAGTGGATTATAGAGCAATGAAGCAGGTGATGGAAATATATGAAATAGGTAGTAGCATTTTAAAAGCTATTAAGAACTTTTCTGAGGAGGGCAAGGCTCAGGGTAGGATATATAAGAGAGGAAGGCATTTTCCAGTACAAGTATAGCCCCTAAATTAAAAAATTCTTGCTCAGCACTGTGCACAGTTTCCCCTGGCAATGTTGCAAATGAAAAGAAAAAGTCAACCTCTAACCCTTTTATCAATATAATTCTGATAATAGTACAGGTTGACCATCACTAATCTGGCATCATCAAGACCTGTAGGGTGCTGGATTAATGATGTTGCCAGATTATAGTGGTTAGGTTAGAATACACTTAACCCAACAGTGATATTTATGTATTGGCGATTTTGCCCACTTCACGCCCTATTTTTGTCCTATTCTATTGTTCCAGTCTACCACACTCATATCTATTTTGCTAGTATTCCTTCAATTCTGTCGATTGATTACAGCCTCTCCTCACTTAGTGATGTACTTGTTTACCGACAACTCAGACTTATGTAGGGCTCTCTGACAAGTGTGCATGCCTTAACCCTTTGACTGTTTTGGTCGTATATACAAGTCTTACGAGCCACCGTTTTTGACGTATATATACTCATAAATTCTAGCGGCTTCAAATCAAGCAGGAGAAAGCTGGTAGGCCCACATGTGAGAGAATGGGTCTGTGTGGTCAGTGTGTACCATATAAAAAAAATCCTGCAGCACGCAGTGCATAATGAGAAAAAAAAAACTCCAACCATTTTTTTAATTAAAATGCCGACTTTGTGGTCTATTTTCGTATAGTATTTATGGTTGTATTCTCATTTTCTTGGTCTCATTTGATAGAATGGAAAACATATTCATGTGCCTACTACATACAGAACAATACACGCAAATATAAACCCTCCACTCAAACTTCTCCTCACCAACCTAAACAGGACACATGACCACAACACAAGACACAGATCTCTTTTTGATATACCTTGTGTCCATATCACACTGTGTAAAAACTCTATGCACATAAAGGGCCCCAAAATATGGAATTCATTACCAGAAGATATTAAAGTAACCCAGTCTGAAAATCAATTTAAGACTCTTCTTAAAAGCCACTTAATCACCCTAGACTAAACGCTAAATACTCACTTATGTACTCCCACATCATGACTTGTATTTCTGAACATATGAATATATCTCTTGTCTTATACAAATTTTGATTCACTTATAATTAATAATCTACTGTACAACTATGAAATAATTACTATCCTACTGTACAACTATGATATAATCCTTAGTTTAAGTAGTCTGTAAGCCAATAACGTTAAGTTAGCCCATAATGCCTATGAATAATAGAGGCTCTCTTTGCACTGCAACCCACTATTGTAAATACAAAATCTCAATGTACTGTTTGCAAACACATAAAATAAATAAATAAATAATTATTATGGAAATAGAGGTGATTTTGATTGGTTTTACTATGAAAAGAACCTTGAAATGGAGCTCAAAGTAGGGAAAATGTTTGTTTTTTGCTGATGTTCAAAAGTAAACAAATGATGTCATTTACCAATAAATGTCCAAGTAGCCATTCTAATATGCAGTCATGAATGGAGTGACACTATTTATACAACTATTACAATATTGCCGTAGTCTGCATAACAGTAAATCTTCTATTTTTTTGTTTGAATAAAAATTCAAAATAGAAAGCAAGAGTAATATTAGAGGGGCCTGGAAATGTGACTGATGAACAAAGAAAATGTTATTTTTGAGCCAGGAATGTCTGCAATGTTCATTCTGGACCCTATTTTGAAAATGTCATATTTTTTATTTTTTGTGAAATTGGCCAAATTTCAAATTTCTGACCACGTTATTGGGTAGTTGAAATTGGTACATTTAATGGGCAGTTTCTTGTACTCAATTGAATTGATAGAAAAAATGGAGTTCTAAAGAAATACCTATGAGTTTGGTCAACTGGAACAATGGAATTAGCTGAAAATAGGACTCAAAGTGGGTAAAATCGCCGATTTGTAAATATCGCCAAGGTTGCTAACATCACGAGTGTAATTCCATCAGTTTTTCATCAAATTTCATTCTTTTGGTGTCATTACAATCGGGAAAACATTCTCTATCATTTCGTAATTTTTTTTTTTAAATTTTGCGACACCAGGAGACACCTCAGGATTTGGGGTTGCAACAGTCAAGGGGTTAAATAATATACATCAGAGCTTATTTCCGCTATTCTGTCTACTGCAATATACAGTACACTACTGTATAAACATTTAAAAATATATAACAGAAATTTTATAAATGGTGCAAAGGTGACATTAAAACAATATCAAACATGGGTGACAGAAACCCACCACCATTACAGAATGCTCCTCACTTAGTGACAAATTCATTTACCGACATGGTCTTAGGAACAAAACTCCATCGTTAAGTGAGAGGCTGTACAAGAAACCACCCATTTACCTATTGCAACTACCCAATAAAGTGGTCAGAAATTGGTAATTTGAACAATTTCACACAAATTTCAAGAGATGCCAATTTCAAAATAGGGTCCAGAATAAACAATGCAGACATTTTCTCTGTTCATTAGTCACATCTCCAGGCTCCTTTTATATTATGCTTGCTTTTTCACACAAAAAATAGAAGATTTACTGCTATGGAGACTACTGCATTATTGTAATAATTGTATAAATAATGTCAACCCATTCGTGACCGAGTATTAGACCGGCCAGTTGGGCACGTACTGGACGGTGACATTTGTTTACTCTTGAACATCGGCTAAAATCAAACACTTCTGCTACCTTAAGCTCAATTTCAAGGTACTTTCCATTGTGAGACAAATCAAAATCACATCTATTTCTGTAATATATCTTCTATTCTATCAATTGAGACCAAAAAGACGAGAATACTACCATAAAAACCTTACAAAAATACACCGGAAAGTAGCAGTTTTACACCAAAAACAGTTGCAGTATTTTCTCATTAAGCACTGCGTGCTGCAGGATTTTTCTTTATACAGTGCACACTTACACAGAGACCTATTCTCTCCCATATAGGCCTAAATTAGCAGTCACAGCTTATCTGAGTGAGCCTGAGCTCATGGCAACTGACAGTGGCTTCAAAACCACCTTATCTTTTATGGACAATGTACAGTGTATGTGCTTTACACAACAAGAAGCATTTCTTTAATTCGTTGGAACCACGGCTAGGGCTAAAAGTGAGCAGGTTATAACAATAAATGGAGAAAACCAAATTGGAGTGACTTATGCAGCAAGTAGCGCCACCAAACAGTAGCGGTAAGTTGGTGTGGTGACCCCGGAAATTTTAAATTATGGTAGCTGAAATTTGTGCCGGATTACTGATTGCCGGATTAGTGATGGCCAGCCTGTACTGTGTATTACTGAAAGCAATGAAATTACACAAAATTAACATTACAGGAAAAAGATGCACAGTCACCTGGAATTTCTTCAGGTTCGTGAGGGACCATTTGTTCGGTGATGCAAACAATCTCTCCAGCACTGTTTATTTCATTCACAAGAAAATCTGAAAACCTGAAAAGAATGTTATATGTATTAGAATATTGTAAATATTTATGTAATTGAAACCAGACTAAACACGTAGTGATTTGCTAAGCTAAAACATCTTTGCATGTTCCAATATTATAATCACTGACTCAAAAACTATGCATTACTCAAAGCAAAAATTGAGAGAAAAAAAAATAATTCTATCCACCTTATACATAATTTTATATTTATTTTAAATACTGTAGTTTTTCCAATAATTTCTTCTGTGCTGAACTAATGTAAACTCTCGCGTAAACTGGGGATTAAGCAAGATCCACCAAGACAGAGTGACCCAATAGAAAGAAAAGTCCCAAAAATAAAATACTTTCATCATCATTCAACACTTTCACTTCACTCATACATAATCACTGTCTTTGAAGAGGCACTCAGATATGACAGTTTAGAAGTCCCTCCAAACTGCCAATATCCCAAGCCCTTCCTTTAAAGTGCAGGAACTGTACTTCCCATTTCCAGGACTCAAGTTCAACTAACCGGTAAAAGAACCTATAGGAATAAAATGCAGAGAGAACTATCTCTGGTGGAACAGGCCATATGTTATACACACTTCCTTACCCCTGAGAAAATCTTTCTTATTACAACTCCTGCAACATTGAATAGCTCCTGACGAAGCATGAAAATGTGAAAGGTCTTGAGCTAATGTGGTTTGTTTTGCATTGTTAAAGTCACTTGTTTGTGACTATTACTTGTGCTTTCGTGTCTATATATTTAATAGTGGACTAAGGTGTCGAGAATCTAGCTAGTTTAAAGGAGAGGCTAGTTAAATAACTCGGGTTTGATTCCCTGCTAGTTGAAGTATTCTTATTTGTTTTAAAAAACACTTAGTTTTGTGGATGGATGGATGGATGTATTTATTACACATTCCATTTCTTAACTTAAAAAAAATTTTCACAAAGAATTTAGACAATTTTCATAAAGCAATAACCTACCTTTGTTTAATAATACCAAAGAAACCCTCATGATTTCCAGCATAGTGTGTGATACCCACTTCGTTCTCTGCAGACTTTTCAGGGGGAGCTTTTTCGTCTTCACTTTTTTCTTTATTATCTGACTTATTTGCAGATTCTACATCATCAGTGATGTTATCTAATGCATCTTCCTGCAGATTTGCTTCTTCTGAGGGTTCCTTCTCCTCAGCATCTTGACTCTCTTCAACTTCATCAGCCTCATGCACATCAGCCTCTTCGTCTTCCCCAGCATTATTCCCATCTAAGTTACTTTCATCACCCTCTATAACATCCATTTCCTTAGTAAAATCCTTATCAAGAGAATCTTGTGGGACAGAGGACATTAATCCTTCTTCTTCCATCTGCATTAAAGGAAATTAAATTGGATTAATTACTACAAATTCTTTGAAACCAACAGCATAATAAATTACCATAATTATAGCAAATAACTCTTGATTAGTGGCTTGAAGATAAAGCTGTTTCCACCACTGGACTGGAAAACCCTCACAGGTTTTGTGCTTGATGTAAGGTTGTTTTCCACATGGAGTAGAGTAAAAGTAGACTGTAAGAAGCGAGTTATATTAAATGTTTATGTGCCATACATGGAGGCGAAAGAATCAAGATGAGAGAGATTCTGGGAAGTGTTTAAAAGAATACTTAGGGAGTCTCGAACCAAATGAGAGAATACCTATTGCAGTTGACCTATATGCTGAAGTGGGAGAGACTGCTGGAGAGGGTACAGTAGATAAGCTTGAAGTGCCAGAGGTAAATGATACAGGACCTCTAACTGAATTATGTACTGAATATTTATTTTTTGAATAAAATGAGGATAAGAAAAGTTTATAAGACATGATGTAGTTTACCAGACTATGTACTGGTGGATAAAAGGACGATGTACAAATTTCAGAATGTGCATGTCTCTCAGAGGAGAAACTAGTATGTCAGATTACTTAGTAAAAGGTATAGTAAAAGGCAGATGGAGTACAAGGAGAATGGTATCAGTGGGAGACATGAGGGCCTGCCGCCCCTTTCAGGGGTGGCAGGCCCTCTCAGAAACTTGTTCTCAGGGTCGCCCAAATTTAAAAAAAAAAAAAAAAAAATTCTCATGAAAACATAGAGAATCTTTTCCCGATCATAATGACACCAAAAGTATGAAATTTGATGGAAAACTTACGGAATTATGCTCTCGCGAAGTTAGCGGTCTCGACGATGTTTACGCATCGGCGATTTTGCCCACTTTGAGCCCTATTTTCGGCCAATTCCACTGTACTAGTCGACGAAAATCATGAATATTTCGCTAGAACTCCATTTTTTCTATCTAATGAGTGCAAGAAACCACCCATTTACCGATTTCAACTATCCAATACAGTGGTCAGAATTTAGCAATTTTGCCCATTTCACACAAATTTCAAAAGATGCCAATTTCCAAATAGGGTCAGAATAAACAAGAAAGACATTCCTGGAACTAAAATGATATTTCCTCTGTTCATTAGTCACGTCCCAATGCCCCTCTTACATTGTTTTGCTTTCCACTTTGAATTTTTATTCTCACAAAAAATAGAAAATTTACTGTTATGCATTAGTCTAAAAAATGGTATAAATAATATCAGCACACTTGTGAAAGAATATTAGACTCACCAGTTAACGTGTATTGGACGCTTAGCATGATTTGTTTACTTTTAAACTTGGGTAAAAATCTAACATTTCTGCTACTTTGAGCTCAATTTCAAGGTACTTTTCATTGTAAAATCAGTCAAAATCATCTCAATTTCTGTAATATGTCTTCCATTCTATAGAATGAGACCAGAAAAACTAGAATACATCAATAAATACCATACGAAAATACAGTGCAAAGTCGCTGTTTTAATCCAAAAACACGGTCAAAGTTTTTTTTTTCTCATTACACACTGTGTGCTGCAGGATTTTTTTTATACTGCGCACACTGACCACATAGACCCATTCTTTCATATGTAGGCCTACCAGTTCTCTCACTAGATTTGAGGGCGCTAGAATTTAGGCGTACTAGTACATCAAAAACCCTGGTGCGAAAGCCGTACTAGTACGGCTGAAACCCTGAAAGGGCTAAATACACAGTGGGAGATATAAGCAACTGTTAGTAGAAAGGTGGGGTAAAGGGAGTACATGTAATAAGGAAGGGGTTGAAGAGGTATGGGGTAAATTTAGGATGTAGTGCTAGAGTGCACAGCTGAAGTCTGTGGTTACAGGAGGGTAGGTGCAGGTGGGTACGACTGGTGGAATGATAGACAAAAATGATGGTAAGGGTAAAAAAACAAAAAGTTAGAATATGTAATAATGATATACAAAAGGCAAAGTACAGTACAGTATATGGAGAGACAAGGTGAAGAAAAAATGAACTGTAAGGGTGTGTGTAAGAGGACAGTCAATGAAAGAATGAGCAAGTCTATCAGCAAACTTTGCTGAGAGTAGGAAAAAAGTTTAGGAGAGAGATTAATAAACTGAGGGAGTAAATGGGCATGCCAGTTAAAAATGAAAGGGAAAAATATTAGATGAGGAAGGAGAGTTATTGGAAATATGGGGAGTATATATATCATATGCTAAAATTGATGGTAATAGGAAGGCAGTGATCTCATGCCTTGGGTGGGGAGGAATAATATAGATTAAGAAAGTGCCAGAGGTGAATGATAAGAAATGGGTAAAATGAAAGAGGGTAAAGACCCTGGACATGGGATTAGAAGCAAGAAATTACAAGTGGATGGGGATACAGTTTTGGAGGAACTGGTGCATTTATTCATTAAGGACATGGAAGAGGGGAAAATACTGAAGGACTGGCAAACAACCTGCATAGTTCCCTTGAATAAGGTACAAGGAAGGAAGTGGAGTGTGTGCAGGAACTACAGGGAAATAAACCAAATGACTATAACAAGTAGTAACTTTAACTTTATATATATAATAAAACAAAGAGTGTTTGGAAGAATTATTGAAAGAAGACTGCAGAAGAACAATGTTTAGGAAGGATAGTGATCTATACACCAAGGATGTGCATTAAAACATACATGTGTAAAATACTTACTGCATTTATGGCTTTAGTAAAGGTATGTGATAGGGGTAAGAGTGTAAGAGCACTAGCACCGGTACACCACTAGTTCCTTCAACACGGGTGCCCAGCACCACTATGTCAACGGTTGCTTAATCATTGAGCGGGTCATCATCTGATAAAGACGTGCATCAGGAGATATTACCTGGGTTCCTGAGGAACAAACTACTCCCGCCGAGGCTGCCTGGTGGCTGCACGTACTATGCTACCAATAACCTAGGTCACAACCCCGCCTAAACACACCCTTACACTAAATTCTCTATCTCTGTTGTCGTTAAGCAATTGTTATTGATGCGCAGATGATAATGCCTATCAAAAACAGCATATACTTCATAGTAAGTTAAGAAAATATGAATAATAATAAAGCCTCACCACGCCGTCATCTGCCTCCGGAGCCTCGGTGTTGTTCCTTCACTACAACAACAAGCGGACGATGCCCACACTTGGCCTCAGCTTCCGCTTAACTTAACTAACATAAACCATCATTTCTGGGGCGTAAAATTACAACAGAGCAAATCGTCTGATATTTCATTCATCAATATATAATTTCATATGCATTAAGTTCCGTAATTCATCAGAATATATAATATATAAGTATGTTGAGTGGCGAGGAAGACGAACACTGAGTAGTATATACGATGTGGCGTGGTTCCCATCCTTCACAAGCCCACACCAACGCAGAAGATAACCTATGAATCTTTAGTAACTAAAAAATCAATTAACACAGGCTTTATAAAATATTTAGTATGTGGATATATACGCCATGTTTGATACTCGGTTAATCCTGAAGGAAGGTTTAAAATGCCTTGATTCATTCAAATTCTTTTCCCATTTAAAGGTGAAACCCCGCGGCTTCTCCGGATACCATAGTGGTCCATCCTAGCAGTGACAGAATAATAATCTTTATTTCTACAAATACATGAAACAACTATTATAGACAAAAAATTACCTGAAACAACTATTATAGAGAAAAAATTACCTGAAATGCTCTGCATAACAAGCGGCTTTCTATATAATAGTTTGTCATTGATGTCAGCTGGGCCCGAATACCTTGTATATATACTTGTATAAATAAAGATATTGTTATTACTTACTGCTAGGTGATGAAGTAGGGCAGTAGGTATAATATGATAAACACCCAGGTACCTACTTATTGCTAGGTGAACAGGGACAGCAGATATAAGGAAACATGCCCAACGTTCCACCGTGCCTGAGATCAATCCTAACCCCTCAGTGTGTGAGCTGAGGACGCTACCACCCAAGCCCAGGCACTGTATGACCCATACGTATTTAGTGCTTCCCCTAAATAACATTAATAATAATAATAATCCAAGGGAATGTTGTAGATGAATGGTTCAGAGAACCGACATGTTGATAAATTAAACATATGTGCAACTCTTGGGTATCTTTATTGAGGAAACGTTTCGCCATACAGTGGCTTTATCAGTCCATACAAGGAGGATCCTGAAGAACAGGAGACATCGACACCATGCCTAACCCTTCTAGGGTAGGGTAGGTGCCTGAGCCCGAGCCTTTAGCTCATAAGACTGTCATTCCCATTAGCCCCCTTGGGGTGGGGATGGCAGACCAGAGAGGCCTAGCTTGTGGCTAGGCCTGGGGACAGTTGGTCCCAAAGATGAGGAGGTAATTGTGCCTCCTCCCATGGGAGACTTAGGTCTCAGACACTCCCTAAAGAGGGAGCCAAGGCCGGGCCACCACTTGGGAAAGGCCCGGGCCGGGAGAATACCGGCGAATCTTTAATAATAATAATAATAAGAAGAACAGGAGAAGAATGAGGTAATCAGTCCCTCAACCTTGAGTCGATGTGGTCAGTCCATTAATCTTGAATAGATTCTCCTTTGTATGGACTGATAAGAACATAAGAAAGAAGGAACACTGCAGCAGGCCTACTGGCCCATGCGAGGCAGGTCCAAGTTTCCTACCGGCTTAAGCCCAGGTCAGGTCTCATTCACTTAAGGAAGGAACACGACAACTGACCTTGTAGCACACGCTAATCAGGTCCAACTCACACGCACCCACATCCACTCATGTATTTATCTAACCTATTTTTAAAACTACACAACGTTTTAGCCTGTACTCAATAAAGATACCCAAGAGTTGCACAAGGGAATGTTACCTAGCATGCAACCCGACTTGTCTGGGAATCGAACCCATATCCTTTCGGTTGTGAGACAAACACTACCACTAAGCTATGATATATTGACTTCCAAAACAAGTTATTAAAATCACCAATAACATTCGTGCAGATCTGAACGATGCTACTTAGTCACCATCTTACCTGGAGTATACCTTGGGGATATTCTGGTGGTCAACGCCCCCGCGGCCCGATCCATGGCCAGGCCTCGCAGTGGATCAGGGCCTGATCAACCAGGCTGTTACTGTTGACCTTTTTTTATTAAAAGTGCTTTTTGTGACTGAATACGTGTTGAAGGGTTCATGTAACCTAACCTAATCTAATTAGAAAATAAATTAAATATAATGTTTTAGTTTACACGGAGGGTGATGATTATGACACTGGGAATCACGTAAGAAAGCTGAATGTATTTCGGCCCCTGCGAGATACAAAATACGTATTGAATAATCCCAGTCAGTACCTTGTACTACAATGATCCAAGAAAGGTATCTCCGAATTGTACGTGTAACGCTGTAGGTTCGAACCCGGAGATAGCGTTGGTTATAGCAAGGTCCATACACTCACTTTTCCCTTGTTAGGTAAAAGGACACAAGTGCAACTAATGTGACATTTTATTGTGGCGTTTGAGTTTAATCTTCTGTTGTAGGTTGACTGTTGTGACTGTACTGAGGATGTGCTCAGCAGTGCGGTGGTCAATCTGCAGACTGGCCCTCATATTTCTTGCCGTTTCTAGTGTTTCCTTAGCAGTGTTTGAAAGCTCTTCGGCGCATTCAGTCAAGTAAGATCGGGTAGCTGGAGAGAATGGGTGTCTGGAGTTTGAGAGTTGTGTAGGAGTAGATTTAGGTATCACCTTCTCTGCACGGCAATCTTGTAGAAAGTTGTGTCTGTTGCGACAGCTATAAGCACGAAGGAAGGTGTCCAAATAACGTTTGCATGAAACGTCCATTATGTTGCAGTGTCCGACAAATTGTAATAATGTTTGTAGAATTACCGACAATATGTTAGGTAGAAGGGCACAAGTGCAGCTAATGTGACCTTTTTTTTTTGTGGCTTTTATTGCCACAAAAAAAATCACATTAGTTGTACTTATGTCCCTCCACTTAACATGTTGTCGGTAATTCTACCAACATTATTACACTTCTCCCTTGTAGGAAGTCATCGGCTACAACCTATCCCCGATTCTAGAGTAATACTTTCCTCTCCTGTGTTGTTCTGAGTCTTGCAGTAATGTCTAGCGTTGCCTCTCTTGTGCTTTACCCTAGCCATGAGAAAGTTGCTTCAGTTGTGTGGACATAATAGGGAGAACTTCGGTAGTTTGCCCATCTTATGGCAGCGGGGCCAATATAGGGTACCAACAGGTATTTCTATTTTAATTGACATAAAAATAAGTTTGCTAGGCTTCCACAGTTGATTTACATCATCATGGGTCTCTACGTACGTACGTTAGTGTAGTATATCTTGTTGGTAGGCCGTCAAAGGGGCACTAGGCAGCCTAGGTTGCTCGTAAAATTGAGGAGCACAACTCATGCTGCCCGCTGTTCTTAGATTCAGTAAATAAAATTGACACATTAAACATACGGAACCTAAAATCAAGATGAAGCTCCTTTTAGGGAAAACACATCAGCACTAAAATTTTGAAGCCGACTAGGTGTGTTCTTCAGTTATTGCAGTTCATCCATTTCATAAGAAGCATCACTTATTAAATATTGAAGCAGATTATATATTTTTATTATTTTCGTCGGGGAAAAGCTAAACTCGTACGGGTCATATAACACCTTAGGAATGGGAGGCATTAAGATTAAATACAAGGAAAAGAAGAATAAGTCCAGTTCCTTGGACTAAAAGCCCCCTTTCATCTGTATCAAGGTACCCCCTTTAGAAATGTGATTGAAGGAGGCATTTCGAGATTAAAGGTGGCAAAATAGCACCTATACACTCCACTAACAATATAAACCTTTCTCTAAGTAGGATATACAAATGTTGAAATTTTGAGGCGATCAAAAGAGACTTTCTAAAGTTATTATATAACCCATACTGGGAGTGGTCTATATAAAACTGAGCAGGGGACATTCACAACTACCATTTGCAAATTTACAAGGGTTGGAAATTTTAAGTCGATTGCAAAATGTGTTCTGAAGGCATAAACAAAAACCTCGCAGGTAGTGAAAGATAAGAACACTGTACATCTGGCATAAAATTGTACGAAAATATAGTATTTAAGGGTTCACTAAACTCGTGTACCTGGAGAGAGTTCCGGGGGTCAACGACCCAGCGGCACGGTCTGTGACCAGGCCTCATGGTGAATCAGGGCTTGATCAACCAGGCTGTTACTGCTGGCCGCATGTAATTCAACGTATGAACCACAGCCCGGCTGGTCAGGTACCGACTTTAGGTGCTTGTCCAGTGCCTGCTTGAAGACAGCCAGGGGTCTATTGGTAATCCCCCTTATGTATGCTGGGAGGTAGTTGAACAGTCTTTGTCCCCTGATACTTATTGTGTTGTTTCTTATCGTGCTAGTGGCACCCCTCCTTTTCATTGGGGGGATGTTGCACCATCTGCCGAGTCTTTTGCTTTCGCAGGGAATGATTTTCGTGTGCAAGTTTGTGAAACCTAAAAATGCAGTCAAATTTGTTGTTTCTTTCCTTGAGCGGATATGCTAAAGAAGGGGTCAGTACACGGGAGTTACGGGATACCAGGCTAGTACAGTGGTTTGTGTGGGCACTATCTACTTCCTAACTCCTGCCTCACCTGGGTGGGTTAATTGATAGGTAAGGCACATGTGCTACAGTTAGGTATCTTTATTCCGAAATGTTTCGCCTACACAGAAGACTTCTTCATTCGAGTACGGAGGAGGAGGTAGAAGCAGTGGAGATGTAAAGATTTAATCAGTTCATCACCCTTGAACACTTAGTTTTGAGGTGATCAGTTCTCATCCTGGAGAAGAATTTTGCTCCAGAGTCAGGACAATGTGAAGGTGAAGCAATAGACGGAGACTTGTGTACTGTCAAAAGCGAGAGACACAGAGGAGAGGCGGAGCTCCAATTTTACATCACCACTCTGCAAGGCATATCACAGATTCATGATTTAGGAAATCACACAGATACTACTTTACTATAAATTCAGTCTCACAATCTTGTCATACATTTGGTGTAGTGTAGAGCATCATTATTCTCAAACTGTCCACCCTCATTACGTGCCTGTGACATGCTCACCTTCACTCTGAGTGGAGAGGCTCTTGAATGCCTCGCCCCGACCATGGCTTCACTCTCTCAATCAGCACCCATATAGCATAAACCGTCGTAGGTCTTAAAAAAGCAACAACAACAGTCTCAACTGCTACGATCCTTGAGCCACTTCAGCTGCATTTC